TAACCCGTTAGCGTATCCGGATACCGCTAACGGTTAGCGCTAACCGATCGGGCGTTCTCACGCAGGTGCTAACGGTTAGCGCTAACGGTTAGCTCCCGATCCGGATACTAGGGCTCTCGTGAGAACCAGGCTAGCGACGGCTTAAACCAGCCAGCTGCCTATCCTGGTAACAGTTAAAAGTCCTTGTTTTTTCAGAATTAAAATTTTTATTTTTATTTATATTTTTATTTATTTAATGTAATATCTTATGTGTTTTGTAAATATTCATTCTTAATTTGTAAATGCGTATATTAATGTTTTTGTGTAATTTCATTATTTGTAATTAAGGCCTTCTATATTTTTGTAAATGCAATAATTTTAGCCTTTGGCTACTTTTTGTATTATTTTTATACCTGCATAAAATAAAAATAAAATTAAATTGAACGCTTAACTACTAATTATTTTAATATTTATATTTGATTCAATTCATGTGGTTCCTTCAAAATCAGTATTAACAACATTCATTCATTCATTTAATTGGTCCAAATCAAAATACAAATCACGAAAAAAAAAATATAAAAAGCTAAAACAAATGTTGCAAAATTGCATAAATTTAAAAGCAATTTAGAACAAAAAATACATTGAATATAGTCTAAATTTAATACAAATATTATTGTACAAGGCTGGTATTGAGGAATTATATGTATATGTAATTTCTTCTCTGTTTCAATTAGTTTAATACGTTTAAACTACTTTTACTTGTTTTTAAGTCATTCTCATTTAAACTAAATAACAACTTCTACAAGTCCCTTTATCTTACGTAAAACATGGTCAACATTCATTTTCTTTTAAGGCCTCTTCTCTGGAACCAGTTACCTATTTTTATTAAACAGTCTGCAAATTTAAATCTCAAAATTTTCTTATTTCCTAAAGTTTTTTAGTCGGGTTTATTGCGCCTTTGATATTTTTTTGAATTGGCATGGTAACAATATCTGCTGATTTATTATAATGTAGGTTACACCAAAGTCTCAAAGCACTCGACGGTGTGGATTATAGCTCGTACATTACGTTACTTCTCAGGCCCAATAGGATCACTTCGTGTCCGACCGGTAAAACTGGTCCTCGTCTGTCCACAACAGAGGCTGTATGAACCAGTATGTTACCCCTTACTCGACTCTAAAGGTGCACTTAAATTGCCATGAGCCAAACTATGACACTGAGTCTACGGTTTATAGTCCTTATCCGAGAAGACTAGTCATATTACACCAATCAAGTTGTTTTGTTTTGAAAAAAAAGAAGAAGGAGTCCCATTTCAACTGGGGTGGGCCTATACATAGTGAAATTCCTATTTTTTAACACCAAAACTAGGTGCAAATGTTGCTTTTTAAAACAGTGTCGGTAATAAAGGTAGATAATATTAAAATCAAGTTGTTTTGTCTTGAAAAAGTCCTGCAATCGCAGGAATTGAACCTGGGACCTTGGGATTAGAAGGAAAGCATCTCAACATAAAAGCTACAACACTGCTCTGTAATTGTTAAGCCGGGCATTTTTTAATGCGTCGCACGACCGTCATAGCGTTGCGTTGCGTTCTCTATAGAATCATGTCGGCCGACGACCATCGGGCACAGTAAATGCTTGGCTTTAATTTCATCTTTGAAGCCGATATAAGCAGTGGCGTATATAGGGAAGTAGAAAAAAAAATCGCCCCTCCCCTATTCGCCCCTCTCATTTGAAAATGTTTAAAGCACATAAATCTGTACCTGTATATCTGTATATATATCTC